TGTAACCAAAGAACAGAATTTACTCGGGTTCAGATAGCAGTTTACTATCAACCAGTTATGTTTATTACAAGTTACTGGACTGAAACACATCCAACTTCGTCTCAACACTGTCATACAGTTTCCTAGGAAAACCCACAAAGAGAAAGAAAAAGAAAAACTTAGATTATAAAGAATCCTTTCAGGGTCCTTGGTAAAAAGAAAAAAATTTAATTAAAAGTAGCTGGCCAGCAAAAAAAAATAGTTCATATAGAGCTCTCTATTTGTGTGTGTGTCTGATTCGTACAAAACGATGAAAGAGGTTGTCCTGGCTGGGATGGCAACCCAGAATGACGACAGCAGCCGATGTCCACAGACACAGAAACTCCGCAGCCTCTCTCTCTTCCTCCGCAGGCACAGGAGCACCTTCCCAGTGTTCCTTTCCCCAATATCGGCCACAATAATGCACTAGCAGGAAAACATCATATATCAGGCATAAAGAAGTCAAGCGCTATGCAGAAGGTAGCCAGAGACTAGCATGTCTCTACTCCGCAGCAGCTCTGAAACTCCAAAGCCCGGGAATTCCCCTAGTAACAAAGAGCAGTGAGCTCCATTTTAAAACAGTACTTAAGATTTTTTATCAGGAATATAACTCCATAAAATAATAAGGACCTCATGAACATAGATGAAAATGAAATATGTCACTTAACACGACAAACTCGACAGTCATTTTAACTCACAATACCCACGGTAAAACAGGAGTTTGGTTTCTAAAACATTACAGAATTAGCGACGACTTGGTACATAAAATTAAGAGCACATACGACATTACAAATCTCCAGTAATGCCCACCTAGCAGGAAAATATCATATATCAGGCATAAAGAAGTCAAGCGCTATGCAGAAGGTAGCCAGAGACTAGCATGTCTCTACTTTGCAGCAGCTCTGAAACTCCAAAGCCCGGGAATTCCCCTAGTAACTGCAGTCGGAACACTGCCGTAAAGTGATGTCGTACTTTGCTCTTAAGTTGACACTACCCATAAAGTAAAAACAATACAGAAAAGCAAATAACACAGAACAAACAAATAAAATACAGCTGGGTTACAGGAACATACAATTTTTACTGCTAAAAACAATCTTCGAAAATACAATCTGATTAATTTTGTAATTGACAGGGCCCCGATTTTTTTGTTTTGTTTGTTTTTTTGTAATTTCTATGAACAAAAAATAAATAATGAAATTGTCGAGGGCCCCCTGTTGGTCAGTGCCCCTAGAATTGTTGTCACTTTCCCCCCCTATACCGTGCCCCTGCCCAGCAGTACTGGTTTTCAGCAGTTACTGAATATCTGCTCTGATTATGGGTTGAGATTTGATGTACAGTAGGACTAGAGCAGACAAACGACTCTGTTTCGCTGATTTTTTTTCTGTCGGGACAAAAGTTAAATGTTTGTTCCAAAGGTAAATATCTGGGTCACTACATCACAGACCAGCTCTGTGATGATGATGACATTTATCGGCAGTGTCGCATGTTGTACGCCCAGGCTAACATTCTGGGGAGGAAGACATGTGCACTCATAAGGTAAAAATAAGCCTGTTTAAAGCTTATAGTACATCCTTGTATGCAGCTCCTTGTGGTGTAAATTTGAAAAAGCTAGCATGCAGAAGCTTAAGGTTGCTTATAATGACTCCCTGAGAATTCTGCTTAAGAAACCCAGGTTTAGCAGTGCAAGTGAGATGTTCTGTAATACACGAACGTTTCAGGCACTCATGCGTCGTTAGTGCAGCTCATTGAACAGTCTCATTGTAATGTTTTCACATCCCTCTAAGATACCAGTTGGCACTGTGGAATCATTGATATGCAAGTCTCTTATAAGATTTGATTTATTTCTTTTATTTTTATTTTATTTTGCATGTGTTGTATGTTATGTCTTTGTGGACCACGAATCTATTGAATAACGCTTCTCTCCTCTCTCTTAGTTACTTTCCAAATCAAGTAATCAGTAATCCGATTAAAGTTACTTTTTCAAAGTAACTATGCCATCACTGGTCTGGACACAGTAATAGTTTGAACAAATATGTAAAAAAAATATATACTGTTTGATAAAAGTTATCTATTGGAACTTTAACAAAGATAAAAGAATGAGTGAGAGCTGCTGAAATAGGCATCAACTTGTGCAGTAAAGGAAGCAGGTTAGGTTTTTTGGAATAGTTTTTTCTTTTTACCCTTAATAAATGAAATCATTTGAAAACTGCACTTTGTATTTACTCAGGTTATCTTTATTTATCTAATCCTCTGACATATTTCGAGTGTGGCAGTAAAGCAAAAACAGATGCAGGCAAATACTGTGTCTCAGTATTGTTTGTACTTTTCTCCACCAGTAGAGTAAAGTCAGCTCTGTTCTGTTTAACTCTGGCGTAGATGTGGTGACCCCAAATGGGCTGAATGTGAAAAAATTCTCAGCCATGCATGAGTTTCAGAACTTGCACTCCACTAACAAGACCCGCATCCAGGAGTTTGTCAGAGGACACTTTTATGGGTGAGCCTGTAGTTCAGTCAGTAAGTTGATATGGCTCTGTGATTTTAATGTTGCCTGGTCCAATTCAAATAGGTCACATCATTCTGAGTTACACTGTGATACTGCCTAACTTCTGTCAGTTTGTAAAATTTCATTTTGGCAGGCATCTTGACTTCAACTTGGACAGAACCCTGTTCTTTTTCATTGCTGGGAGATATGAATTCTCCAACAAGGGAGCTGACATTTTTCTTGAATCGCTATCTAGACTCAACTACTTGCTGCGGGTGAGGACCTTCAACTCAGAATTTGTGGTTCTCCATCTTGTGTTTTCCAGTTTTATCTAGCCCACATGAATCCCTCATGACTTTCTCAACAGGTCCACAGAAATGACCTGACTGTGGTGGTTTTCTTCATAATGCCAGCCAAAACCAACAACTTCAATGTGGAGTCTCTGAAGGGTCAGGCCGTGCGCAAACAGCTCTGGTAGGTTCTCTTTGAAATATTTAGATGTAAACGGTAACAAACCTCAGCGTACCTCCATCTCCATCAAAGTACAGCTTTCAGGTGTACGGTAAGTACTTTGAAAGAAACATAAAACTGTTTGATCTTTGTTGCTCACAGGGACACGGCTCACACTGTGAAGGAGAAATTTGGTAAAAAGCTTTATGAATCTTTGTTGACGTGAGTATAAACATTTTGTGAAGTAATTATGGTTATGTGTGAATGGAAATCCTTTAAATGTTTCTGTTATCTGTCTTCAGAGGAAACATCCCAGACATGAACACCATTCTGGACAGAGATGACTTGACGATTATGAAGAGAGCTATTTATGCTACACAGGTACAAAATCTAACTGTATGTATTGGAATTTATTTCCATTGTGTTGTCCTGAAATAATGTATTTAGTTTTATAACAGGTTAATTGTCTCATCATGAGCTTGTAGCGTTTGTTTATCACACTAAAGCTTTGTGTAGTCAAACCTGGGCAATAATGGTTTGACTATGTCCTCACCGTAAGACCCTTATCTCATCATTTTGAGATAATGGATGAATATTGTTATGTGGATGTTAATGTTGGGGCAGCAATAACAGTTGCTCTCCTGTCTGCTCTGTTTATATTCGGGCTCTTAACATAACATTGAAACACCTATTAAATTTTAAGGCTTTACTTTAGCTTAAAGGCTTTTGTAAGGAGATGTGCATTCATTAAATTTCTTTTAAAGATTAAATCTGCATTTTAACCTTCTGTCATACTGTAGAGTCTATTTGTGATATTGTGGTCAGTGGCTGGTGATGCAGACTTATTCTGGGAGGATTTATCAAAGTAAAAGTATTATTCAAGTGTCTTAACTGTAATTAAAACCAGTATGGGATTAATGCCAACCTTCACTTTGGACTGTGAGTCAATACGATATCTGTTAGAGCTGGATATACCAACAAAGTATCAGCAAAAGGTCATTCACAATTAAATAATAAATGTATATTAGTGGAGAGGTTTCACAGGTTGAGGTCAAGGCTCATTGACTACGTGTGTCAGCAATGATTGGAATTAAACTCTTCAACCGAAAAAAATAGGGAATATCGTGGGACTTATTTTTCTCTGGTTTTAAAGGTCATGGAATTCATGTTACACTAAACACTGAGCAAAATATTTAAATGTAGACAGACAAAATACTATATTGCAAGCTTTCTAATGATGCCAAATACAGAAATAAAAAACTGAAGATGTGACCATGTGAATGGTGACACTCTGATGAAACAACCCCAGCAGCTTTACTAAGATGTTAAAACATCATCAGTGTGTTCATGTAGTCTGCTGTCACCAGCATCTCGTCACAGACTGGGCTGTGCTGAAGCAGCAGCATTCAACACAGAATTTTCCTGGCTGGAGAAACAAGTCAGGCAGGCTGGACTCTCTGGTAACAGTGGCAGAGAAGAGAACATTACAGAAACTCCAGGCTATTATAGACAACGCCAGTCACCCTCTGCACACTGTCACCAGCAGCCAGGAAAGCAGAGTCAGTGGGAGACTGCTTCTTCCAAAGTGCAGGAATCAGCAGACTGAGAAACTTGAGCAATTAAACTGTTCAACTCTTCACTGGAAGGGAGGATGGCTAACAGAACAACAGAAACAGAGGGACTATCTGACCATTCAATAGATTGCTACTGCCTTTGACAACCCTTTTTATAGACACAGTAACATTCAAAACTTTTTCAGACTGTAAACATTAGTTGCTTGTCAGCTTCATCAGATCAGCTTATCCTTTTCACAGATATATAACCTATTTCTTTGTATGAAAATAATTCAAATATTTTGCTTGTATTTTAGTTTATCAGAAGAAATGAAAACATCTTGCATTCACAGAAAACCCAAGGACTGTTTCCTGCTCTTTTTTCTTTCTGATGTCACTAGCTTCTGGCTTTTTTCTTTTCACTGTCCCAACATAGTGATAATTTTAACATACAAGTAAGAAACATACTTAAAAAAATGAATAAAAATAACATACTGCAGCTTTAACACAAAAGAAGCTGAACTGAGACTGTATGCTGGGATCATCCTGCAGTCAGTGCTGACCTGGTGATTCCTCCAGACACCGGCTGGACTTCTTCTGAACTACCGTTGATCTATAAGCCTTTCTAAATCTGCTTTTGTGTCTGGAATTGTCACCTATTTAAGAGTCATGTAGCAAGCATTATGACATTGGTAATGTGCTTAGCCCTACAGAGGTGGTGGAGACTGAGACATACCCCAAAAGACTTGAACCACAACTGCACACAACTGTAGTTTTTTTTATTGAAAAAAAATAAAAATAATAATAATAATAAAAAATAAAATATCTATTAAAAAAAAAAACTATACTCTTCTTTGTTCAGTTCCTTTTGACAATTTTGAAAAGCTTTATATTGGTTTGTCACATCAAATATAATTTAAAAGTGCTACAGCTTACAATAACATGATTTGACACAATGTGAAAAGGTTTTTGCAATATCATGATGTTGAATGCATGGACAAAAGAGCATATATGCAAATATGAGCCTGAATGTATTGGATGACGTTGTTCACATTTTACTTGGTTTTTTACTTTGCTCACTGTATGTCCTAATGATTTTTCTCAGAGACACAGTCTTCCTCCAGTGACCACTCACAATATGCTGGACGACTCTGAAGATCCAATACTGTTCAACGTCAGACGCATTGGTCTCTTCAATTCCAGAAACGACCGCGTCAAGGTAGATTAAACATTCTGTCTTTTACAACCTGCGGTGCTGGGGTCAGTAAGTCCCCACTTCTTCCTCTATTAGTCCACTGTTGTTATTTGATCTTCAATGATTAAAACATATTTTTTAAATTTTAAATATTTAACATATTTTGTTGTCTAAATGCAAGTAAAATACATTCTCTTGCAAATATATTTGACTGAAAAAATGTAAGTAATCATGAAAAAATGCCAGTTTGATTGGGAAGAACTGTTATTTGGCCATTCTTGATTTGCAAACACAAATAATAAAAAATATGAATTGAACATTAAGCACCTTAAGTAAGAGGAAGCTGGAAAATCAAACACACGAATTTGGCAGAAGATAGATGCTCTTGTTATAGAAGATTGGTAGGGAATAGTTTAAAACTTTTGTCCTGGAAAGAATTACAGGAGAGAAAATTTGAGAAAATCTGAATGAAATGTCCTGGCCATGGGTGTTATGGTTTTGATTTTGGCTATGTGAGGTAAAATAAAACCCAAATCAGATTTTTTTGTCCATATCATGGTAATTTGATCAGCCCAAGTCTGATCTTTTCAAGCCCAAAAAATAAAATAAAAAAATCTGATTGCTGTGACTTCTATATGAGATAATAAATTGGATACATATTTGATTGTCTTTAAAACATCTGCAGTCTAAAAAATATATTTCATATAAACATTACCTACTGCAGCTGTAAAATGCTTCATTTGATCGGCTGTTTGTGCCTTCACTCTGCCAAGGCTCACCTCATTGTGACAAGAAATCTAAACTGAGAAGATGGCCTGCTTTAGTGACTCAGTGAGCTTTCAGTTCTTTAACCTGTCATTCACAATGACAGGTTACCAGGGGTGTCAAACTCCAGTCCTCAAGGGCCGCTGTCCTGCAGTGTTTAGATGTGCCACAGGTAAAAAACAGTGGAATGAAATGGCTTAATTACCTCCTCCCTGTGTAGATCGGTTCTCCTGAGCCTTGCTAATGACCTAATTATTCTTTTTAGGTGTGGTGCAGCAGAGGCACATCTAAAAGTTGCAGGACAGAGGCCCTTGAGGACTGGAGTTTGACACCCCTGGAACCTGTCATGAGAGGATCCAAATTTGGGTCCTCTCGTGAATGACAGGTTAACTGCAGTTATTTTATTTTAGTGTTTTCTTTAAAATGCACACCATCAAACAAAAAACTGTTATAGCCATTTACCTGCCTTGGTAAATATTAACTGCATGCGATTCAAAGAAAAGAGGAAACTAGCTAGCCAGCTACATCTGTGTCTCATTGTGTTCATGTATTCATGTATTCATTGTGTTCTCTCAGATCATCTTCCACCCTGAGTTCTTGTCCTCCACCAGTCCTCTGCTGCCCATGGATTATGAGGACTTTGTCCGAGGCTGTAACCTTGGAGTTTTCCCTTCCTACTATGAGCCGTGGGGATACACACCAGGTAGACTTTGACCAGCAAACAGCAGCTCATGCTGTGTGTGCATGAGATCTTTCCAATAATACTAAACTGGTGCAACAGGAGACATTAGCAAACATTCATCTTTCAGGTTATGATTTGTTGTAAGGCATCATGCACAACTGTGGTACGTTTACAATGACAAATTGGACCAAGACAAACAAATAACTGTTACAGGATTATGTTACCCAACAACAATTCTGAATTTATTTTTAACATAGTGTGAAAAAGAAAAACACAAAAACAAAAATAAACTGAAACAACAGTTTGTGGGACATTATACTAAGTGTCTACTATCTGTAGGTGACTCTAGCGTCACATTCTTCTTTTGATCTTTTTCTGTTTATTCACTTCGATCAAATTTTCATTCTAATGTATGTTTTGGTTGTTGGTTTATCTTTATTGTTCCTTTCTGTTTTCTGTATTTCAGTTTCAGGTTTTGCTCAAGTTTATCTTTCACCTTTCCATCAGTTTACCAGCTTGATTCCTTTTCATTTGTTTAAAGTCCTTTATTTTCCCTGGAACTCGCATTTAACTCTAATAGAAGGAACAAATAAACACAAATGAAAGCTTCTGAGAGACATTCAAAGCTTTGGATTTTGTTTTCTAACCTAATCCTGCTTTAAATATCTCAACATTCTATCTAATGTATGCTGTGGTCCTTGGTCTTCATAGTAATACTATACTAACAAACCTCTGATGCCAACAAAGGAACAGCTTTTTGTTGTATGCACTGCTAAGCCCTTTACTTCCTACTCCATCCATCCTAAACCTGTAGAGTTTGACCCTGATCAGGACCTGTAGGAAATCTGTTGATCTGGTCTGTTGAGTAACACTGCCTGGTTTCTGATGACTCAGGTCTGAGTGGCCCACCATGCTTCCTTCAATGAACTGATCAGATTGAGCAGCCCTGTAGAACAGTGGTCCCCAACCTTTTTATTACCACGGACCTGTGAAGAAAAATTTTTTATTTTTGATTCCACAGTCATATTTTGTTTTTCCAACTCATGTTTCAGAAATGGAACAATCGTGTAAATATTTTTATCTGAAAAACGTTATTTTTTGAATGTGAGGTAAAACATTCATTCATCATTCATCCATTTTTACCCTTATCCCCCGTGAGTATCCCCCCGAACAGGTGCCCTCACAGAGGGTAACGTTTCGGACGAAACATTACTCCGAATCGTTCTCCAGTGAACATTCGGGGGCGAACGGGTTTACGCCCTGGACAGGTCGCCAGCATGTCACAGGGGGAACATAGAGACAGACAACCATGCACACACATTCACACCTAAGGAGAATTTAGAGGGACCCCAATTGACCTGACAGTCATGTTTTTGGACTGTGGGTGGAAACCCACGCATGCACAGGGAGAACATGCAAACTCCATGCAGAAGCGTCCGGGCCGGGAATCGAACCCACAACCTTCTTGCTGCTCTACCAACTGTGCAGCACGCTATAAACGCCTAAAAATACTTTTAAGTCTTATAATAATTACGTCATGACGCAGCTCGGACCCTGTGACGTGTTTGACCCATTCCATTCTGTTCTATGTGACAACACCGCCCTCTGGTGGTCTTGTTTTGTTCCTCCTACTCATGGACTTTCACTGGCGACATTCTGTTAAGTCCTCTCCGCTGTTCTGATTTGCTTGATGACTTTCAATTGCCCCTTTTCCACCGGCAATAGAAACAACCCGGTTCGGCTCGGCTCGGCTCGGCTCTATTTCGGAGTGACCGCGTTTCCACCGGCCCTTCTTGGCTCTGTAGCAGGGTGCCGCCTCCTGGTGGCGGGGGGTGTAGGGCCATGTGCTGTGCTTCGTTACATGCGACCCAGAGGTCGCGTTAGCGGAATATTTTCCGCATTTGACCGGTTATTTTTTTTAACTACATGAAAATTTAAAGCCCGTCGGTCATTTGACAGGCTATAATTAACACACTCATGCGAGGACGTGATAGACTTTACGCAAAGAGTGGAAACTAAAATCAATCAGTAAAATAATCCTTTCTGAATATCATCTCATGCACACTGAACTAAATGCTTCTTTCTGACCGCTGTTATATCTTTAAAAATTCCTCTTCGGTCATATTTCAGTCCGTTTTCTCGTCAATATGCGAGAGCTTAGAGCGATGCGCGCTCCCGCGAGAGGGGATGCAATTTTGGGCAGGCATGCGTTTCTGGGCATAACACCTGTCGCCGCATGTTACTCAGAGCGGCTCGTAATGTTTGACTCACCTACAGGTCCGGGATAAATCCATCCTCCTGTCTCTTCTCTGGGCCTTTTCCCCTTTGCAAAGAAACTTTCCAAAGACACCTGATCTGTTTCTTACTCATTTTGCTGCTTGTGGGCTCAGTGTTGGCGCGCAAGTAACTGAGAGAATCCGGTTAAAGGATTTTCAAAATAAAAGATCCTCCAGACTCAATACATAAAACGGAAATATTTAATTATTTCTTGCGCGGCCCGGTACCAATTTGCCCACGGACCGGGGGTTGGGGACCACTGATCTAATATTTTTAAAGAGAATCAGTTTTATTTAAATTAGTATTTTAATCAATAAATTATAGTTTTATA